GGGGCCCTTGGGGGAAAGAAGAACCTGAGACTGGTGGAGTGTGTAATGGGGATATCGGTGCCTTTTGGATAGAAGTAGGGGTAGAGGTAGTCCCCAACTTTTGAACCTTAGCTCGGGTAGCAGGGCTTCCACTAGAACTGCCCGCAGCCTTGCGCTTGCTACCACTCCTGCTCTTCTTCTTCAATTGGTCAACCCTAGCCTGGAGCTCCTCAGGGGTAGGCTTCATCGTGGAAGAGCCTGGAAGATCTAAACTGAGCTGGTTAAACAAGAAAAAAAAAGGAAGGAAGACAAGGAATCCAATTGAGAAAGTATTACCTTCTATGTCCTCAGGTCTGACAACGAAAAGTGGAATCGAAGCCTCTATCGCTATCTCAGGAGGGCTAAACCCCTGACTTACAAGAATCCAAGGCTTGATGAGCTTAGAGTACCTTTCTGGATTATACTTCTCCAACTCTAGCTTCACCCGCTCGTCTTCTGCACTGAGCTCAGGTCGAACGCCTAAAAGGCAATTCAAGAAGAGCAAAGGTCAAAAAAAAAAAACTCATAATCTCCAGACCAAAGCTTAGTCAGTACAAGCAAGGACTCACCTAGGTTATCGGGGGCAGACCAGGCTCTGGGGATTCCAAGAGTATCTGTTCTGTCAGCAAGGTTGTATTCCTAGTTTGCACCCCCAACAAAAAAGAAATTCTTTTTCCAACCCTTATGGGAGCTCGGGAGGTGTGTAATAATTTGCCTAGTCGAGGTTCGCTTAGAGATGTATAAGAAGCCCTCAGATGAGGTGAGCTTGACATTAAAAAGGTCCATAAGCAGGGAAAGGTTGGGAAATCTAAGCCCATGTTTCTTAAAGAAAACTAGAAGACCCACCAGAACACCCCAGAAGTTGGGAGAAAGCTGAGCAGGGTAAACATTGAAATATTGCAGAACATTGTTGATGAAGGGATGCATAGGAAAGCGAAGGCCATTCTCAAAGGAGGCCATAAAGAAACAAACTCTTTTGTGCACCTGGGTAATGTATAGGGTGAATTTATCCGGGCACTAGGGCTAGACACCAGAGGGAAAGCCAAAATGAGTGCTAAGAACTTTCATAAAAGTAGGATCTACCTCACTAGGGCCCATGAGCTCGACATGCCTGAAGGCAGCCCCTATGCTCGCTGCGTTTTCAGGTATTTCTACCTCGCTCACCTTGCCCTTACCCTTGTCAGTATTAGGGGGCACAGGAAAAGACGATGAGGGCAGCTCCTCAGAGTTCACCTTAGTGTCAACAGCGTCAATGCCCGGGAAGTTGTCAATTTTCTCACCTACATCCCCTAAATCAGTGTCCCCTTTGGTATACCAGTCTCCTGGGAGAGAAGTAGAGGAGCGCGTGGCTCTGGGAGGGGTAGACATGATTGGAAGAGAAAAAGGTAAATTGAAGGAACGGTAAAGAGGAGGAACACTAGTCAAGCATCCCCTAATAATCCTGGGATCAGCACTATAGCTTCCAATAACGAGAATTTGCACGATGGAGCACCAATCCACGAAATGGGGAAGAGGAGATAAGTAATAATCTTGATTCCAAAAGTAAAAGAACCGAAAAATCCAGAAAAATAATGGCCACCTCAAATTCGAGGGATTCAGAGTGAGAAAAGGTGAAGGAAGGGGCAGAAGGGGGTACCTAATTGGGAAAGGGCAACGAACAACGACCTGGAGCAAAATTGAAGAAGGGAAGTAATGTGAATCTTCAAATCAAACCCAGAAAACTCAGTTTTGAACAGAGGATCAGGAAACCGTAAGCCAGAAAATTGCAAGAGGGAAGAAACAGCGAAGAAGTTAAGCAGCAGAGAAGATGAACAAGAGCTTGAAAGACGTGGGCAGGAATCGAGGAAGCCATGATTGCTGAAAATTGTCAAAAAGTATCTCTCACATGCATCTCACGTGCGCTCCCAAGTCAAGCCAAATACTGGGCTAGTTAGGTTTAAAACAGTTCAGCCCATGTCCAAGCTCGCTTGGACCAAGGGCTGGGGGGCAACTGATGATATCTAAAATTCCAAGCACGAGCTCGGGAGGTTTGGAAAGCTTAAGAGGTCAACTCAGACAGGACGAGCAGAGCCCAGAGGACCAGAACTGAAGGTCTCCTAAGGTCAAGCAATAGCGGGGACAACCAAGGGATAGCTAGATAACAGCGAAGATCCCCAAAGCGTTAAGAAGCTATAATCAAGGCACCCAATCTCAACCAACCAAGATTTCCTCCTAAAATCAAGGAGAATTTCACAAAGTAGGGGCAAGGATCTCGGTCGAGATCCCACTGAACGGGAAGCAGCCGTATAAATACTATGTAACGTCCCTAGCGAAAAGGGGAGAACCCTAGAGGCAAATATAGCCATTGTAATCTTGAAAACACCATTATTGAAAGGCAAGGAGCAAGAGTCTCCATTAAAGAAGTGGATGAGCCGAGCTCCTGAGTTTGTGAACCACTATATTTCTTCTGTGTTAATCCCTCAATTCTTTTTAGTCTTGCATCATCATCACTGCAAAATATATTTCCAATTCATTGCTCATACAAGTCAGTTTACACCATTAGAAAACATATGGGGAAACATTTTGTTTTCTGTGATTTTAACAGAGTGAATTAGGTTCATAGTCCTCTTATCATATAACATGCATTCATCATTATCAAAAATAGCATAACAACCTCTTTGTATCAGTTGACCCAAAATTAGCAAATTTTGTGCTAACCCCGAAACATACATAACATCATGAATGAGTTTCCTACTAGATTTTGAGGTCACAGAAATAGTACCAAATCCACATACTTGGACATGGTTGTTGTCGCCCATCTTTACTTGTGTCTTCACCGACTCATCAATTTCCACAAAGAAACTTCTATTGCCGGTCACGTGGTTACTACAAACCCTATCAAGATACCAAACATCTTCACACATATCAACATGAGCAGCCAAACATGTAAGAAATAAATTTTCTTCAGATCCATCTTTTTATTCATGAAAATTGGCATGCTCTTTGTTTTTTTGGAAACAATTTTTTCTCAACATGGCCATACTTCTTGCAATGATAGCATTGTGGAGAATTTTTATTTGGACTAGACTTATTTTTAACCAACAATCCTTTTCTTCATGATTTGTTTTTCCACAATATGAACATGGAGTGGAGTTTGCATTGTTACCTCTAATAGAGTTTCTCTGCTGGTCATTATTTCTGCCTCGGCCTCTTCCATGAGATGCAAAACCACGTCCCCTGCCATTCTTTCCTCGTCCTAAGCCATTTGAATTGCTTTTTGTATCAACCTTTGACTGAAAAGCATGCTGCAAAGAAGCTTCTATTGTCATGTTCAAACGCTGCTCGTGTGCTTGAAGAGAGCCCATTAGTTCATGGACAGAGTAACCACATAGATCCTTTGATTCTTCTGTGGCAGCAACAACATGATCAAACTTGGAAGAAAGGCTTCGCAAAACCCTCTCAACAATTTTTTGATCAGTCAATTCTTCTCCAAATTTGATTAACTAATGAAGAAACTTTAGAGAAGAATACTTGGATCATGTCAGAAGACTTCATTGATAAATTTTCGAACTCTTGACGGAGAGTTTGTAACTTCACTGTAACAACTTTGCTTGAGCCTTGATACTCTTCTTCGAACAGGTCCCAAGCTTCCTTCGATGTGGTTGCAGCCATAACCCGTGGAAATATGGCATCATCCAAAGCTTGCTGAATCAGGAACAAAGCTTTGGCATCCTTCTTTTTCTTTTCTTTCAGCTCATTACGTTTAGCTGCAGAGAGCCTTGTAGCATGCTCAGAATCTGCATCCTCTTCAAGGCCATTCTCCACCAAGTCCCATAAGTCATAGGACATAAATAAAGTCTTCATCTTGACATGCCAAAATTGATAATTAAGACTAGCAAAAATAAGAATAGTTTGAGAAGAGCTCACTGCAATGTTACTGCTAGACATGTTTTCAAATTGAATTGGTCAAAAAATGAAAAGAATAAAGAACTCTCTCAACAAACCTGTGGCTCTGATACCAAATGTTAGAAAATATATAGAAGAATTACTCACACAACCACTCACACGGAATTTCAGCACACAAGGACTCAAAGAATTTTATTGAATACCAAAACGACTGACCAATAACAGTAAGGTTACAATACTTTTTGGATTGACATCAAGTCTTTAAATAGACTCCAGCATTTGCTTTGTTTCACACACGTAGCTCCACTCCCTAAAATTTCTAACAAATAGCATACTTCAACAATGACACATAATAGAAAACTCCTACATACTCTCAACCACTTAGCATTATCACATTATTATAGAACTACTTAATAACAGAGACCTAAATAAGTGGAACAAAACATTTAACAATTAAAGACCAAGTCTGCCTTGAAAGCCCACGTGTGAAGTACTCTCCAACATTTGTGTGATCTCTTCCTTTTCCTACTCCTGCTTCTCAAGGTTCCATCACCATGATTGTTTTCCTGCATTCAAACTTCCGCAAATTATCAACAAGATCAACAATTAAAAAGTTACATATTGCAAACCATTTCAGATCATTCAACCTCTAATTATAATTTCTTGAAATCTATGGGTGCAGGATTTTGAAAATTGTATGCAAATCAGTATCTGAACTTGCTGTCTAGAGCCAAAAAATGAACAAATTAGACGCCCCCTGAACAAGTATTCCACAATATTTGTTGTGAGATGGTTTTACAGAAATCAAACGGGGGGAAAATTTTTAATACCCAATGACTACAATAAGTAATGCTTGGTTGGTGTCATATCCATTATCTAATTGGTTCTACTCATACATCAACAATACTATAAGATTTACGATGTATAAAGTCTGAATTTAGTGGAAACCAAAAATAAAACACAAGACAATTTCTCTACAAAACGTGTTTTTATTTTTTATTTTGTTGTATCGGTTGTGTTTTTATTTTTCTAGGATGTTTCTTGAGGAATATTGAGTTCATTAATTGTGACTTAACTCGAAGCATGGTTTTGAAGACTTAATTCATAATATGCAGTGATCTCGGATTGGATTTAAGAACTTTCAAACTGAAGCCACAGGCACTGCTGCTTTCTACAGCATCTGGGAGGACAAAAGATTCAATACTGCTGGCAGTAAAAGCAGTGTCCCCTGAGAGTGTGGAATTGTTGGAGCAAGAGTGCCCCGCCTTGAATTCAAGGACTCAGACATGCAAATGCACATCTTTTCCCAGTGGACATTATCTGCACCGCCTTGATAATATAATATATACAAAGCACAAGAATACTTCCATGCACTTATCTTCTGGCAGGATTAGATATTCTTGTATGTTCTTTGTTTGCTTCCAGTGCTTGTCCACGGATGTAGCAACGATTGCAAACATTGTTTCTTTTCTTGTTGTTTGGGATAGGTTTTGACTTTGCTAGGCTGAGATGACCTCCTATTTAGTTTTCTATTTCGTTCTTCTTTACCTTTTTCCTCGGAATTCCCCTTGTTTGTTGTTCTTTCTTGAATAGAAGGTGTACATGAACTGAGAAAAGGAAAGGCAAAAAATTTCAAGATAACAGCGAGTGCAAACTCACCTTTTCTGAGGTAAGATTCAGGTTCCACAGACTCTTTTTCTTCTTACAAGAAAGTGGGTTTGGACCCTGCAAAGCACAAGACAAAAAGTAAACCCCATAAGTAATGGCACATCCAGCGGACTGAAACAATTATTAGTGGTACTAGAACATTATGCAACTAGGAAAGTAACAGATGTCTGAAAACTCAAAAACCAGACTTTGCTTCAGCATGTAATTTAGTATCCATAATCCCAATAACATCCAACGTTTGCCTCAAGAAACTCAAATATCATAGTACACGGTTGTCATAAAATCGCTCATGGGAAAACCATGTGAGGTCATGAAGTATGCCTTTAAGAAGGAAGTATTAACTGATTGCATGGAACTAGAGATGGACAGATATGTATTAATGGATTAGGAAAGAAAACAAGAGCAGCCCAGAAAGGCAAAATCATTGATTATAACCTTAGCTTTCTTTCTCTTAAATTGAACTTTGTCCTTCACATCCGTCCTCTTTCTTGTATTATTTGTCTTCAAAGCCTGGCAGCCTGAAATTTGACCTTCCACACCTTCATTTACATCAGAGGAATCCTCCTCTTCCTCAGTGGCCAGCTGCTTCTTTTTGCTCATGTTTACCATCTTATACTGTAACTGAGTCATATGTGAGCGGTCTTTTTCGGCAGATTTGGCAAACTGGTGTTGATAAGCAGATGGCTGTTCGAGGAATAGGGCGTTTCGAAGACCAAAGATTACAGGAACACCTGGTATCTGCAGCCAGATATAAATAACAAATCAATCTATATAGTATATACTTCTCCAAAACATCCGATTTCTTGGTATGAGAGTAACATGGCAAATTGAGCTAGGAAAAAATTTAACACGCACATCTGATTTCATATATGTGAGTGTGTGGGGGGGGGGGGG